TACCTAGCTCCACCACTACGTTATAGTGTCTTATCAAAAAGAAACTAAGCATAATTCACAAACCAATGAAGAAATCAACTTTTAGAGATAAATATAACTCATTACAATACAGAAAAAAAGAAATCAACAAAAAATTCATAATAATTACTAGAAAACAACTTAAATAAGCAACAAAGTAATGAAGCTAGAACAAAAAGAAGCATAACAACAATGGGATTAGATAAGATGATTGCCTTGGTTTCTTAATTTCAAGAAAAGAAACAAAAGAAATCTTTGAAGTTGACGAAAAAGAAAATAAAAGATGAATATTTTTCAATTCTACTCAAAAAAATTTAAACTTTTGTCTTTATTTTGAAAGCATGTGCTTCATGGATTGCAGCCCGCATTCTTTAGTTCCACTTCGAGATAGGGCGCATGCCGCTACTAACAAATCACTTTTCTTTTGAGCTTCAAGTTAATTACTCTTTAAATTGCCTCTAGGCGTGCCTATGAGCGCGCCTTCTGTCCAATCACTATTAGATCCACGTTTCCCAACAATATGTTCGTTAGCGGAAAATGGTACCTTAAAAAGGTAAGAAGCCAAATGTTGTATGTAAAACAAGTGCATAATTAAGGGAGCATTTGACAACTGTGGCGTTTTTGTCATTTCTATTTTTTTTCTTCAAAAAAATAATGAAACGTGTTTGGCAACCGGGGCGTTTTTTTGACTTGACCCTTTACAAAATTCAAAAAATAAATATTTTTCTCAAAACACCAAAAAGGTGTCAAGATTCCGTTCTTTCATCAAAACTGCCGTCGCCCGCCCACCGCCGACGGTCGTCGTCCACCCGCCGCTCACNNGCCCCCCCCCCGCCGCTCACCGCCCACCCGCCCCCCGTCGTCACCGTTACTATATAAATAATAACTATAAATGGTGTTTTTAAAACATGTTTGAAAAAAAACATGGCATGGTGTTTTTCTACAAAAACACAACAAAAAATCACATTGATTACCAAACACATCCTAAAGTATTCACCCATGGCAAAGAGATTATTTGAATTAAGAAAATATTTTGTGGGTTAGGAGTTGTTCAAAAGGCTTTATTTGTCATATTAATAGTGAGAAAATACTTTGTGGGTTAGGAGTTGTCCAAAAGGTTAAATTGTGATAATTAAGAGGCATTTGCATTTCTTCTACCCTAGCATTTCATGAGTGGACTCAACTTATTGAAATTATGTCATATTGATAGTGAGAAAGTTGTTAGTATAGCATACAAAATTCTTAGATAGAAAAAATATGTCAGGAGACTTAAGACATGAATGATATTTATGATACAAATTGAATAATGTTATAAAAATAAAATTAGATATATAGTCTACATATATACTCTCACACAAATCGGTATTCCTATATATAAAGGTAAATTCCCTCAAAAAAGATATTCTAAAATAAATTCTTAGTTTTCATTAGAAACAGACTAAATTATATTACAGTGAAGATAAAGACTTCTGGATGCAAATACGAAGTCACTTAAGTGATATCTCTACTTTCACTATGCCTGCATCATGATCATGAGAGGAAGACTAGAATGGGGGAGGGAGACATCAAGAGAAAGGATGATGCAGGACGATCATGGATCCATCAAAAGATTTTAAGATCTATTAGAATAATTTTTATTTTAGTAATATTTGATTTGATTTCATGTAGTATTTTATTTTATTTAGGACTTTTTTAGGATTTGACTGAGCTCTCTTTCTAGTTTAGTTAGGATTTTTCTTGATTGCATTAGTTTTGTTAGGTTTTGATTTGATTAGAATTTTTATTTGCTTCCTTTAGTGTTTACTTGCAAACAAACCCACCCCATGGCCCTGTCCGACCAACAAATAGCCCCAAAAACACACGAAACAGCCCAATTTCACTGTTTGGGATATTGTTTGTCCTATAAATGTTCATCAGTGAACAGTAATAATGATCATTGTTTTAAATATCGGCCGATAATCGATATTATCGGCCGAGTTATCGGATTTGGGAGCTCTCCGCTAGGATAACTTGGATTTTTATGTTATCGTTTTTGTAGGTTTATCAGCGATTTATCGGCGTTATCGAGACTTATCAGCCGATAAGTAAGACTTTTTTATCGGGATTATCGGTCCATTTTGACTAACATTATATTTTTTTAAGGCTATGCAATCGAATGGTTTCATCATGTGGTCAAGATGCAAGTTTCGCTTTCTACAATTGGTTAGTGATTCTAAACATGATGATTTATATTTTGGTATATTTATATTTCATTAAGCATGATTAGATTATATTTTTTAGTTTTATATTATATATACACATCATCCAGTATATCACTTCGATAAATACTACTTATCCCCGATATATCCCCGATTTCCGCTATCCAATAAGGATTTTGGCCGTCCGATAAATCCCCGATAACCGATATTTAAAACCTTGATAAAGATTACGGTTCATAATGAATTTCCACCATGTCAGCGATGATTTCTCGCCTCCAAATGAAAGCCCTAGAACCACTCCCCATCAAAGGACAAGCCCTCACTTAGAGTGGAAATCTCAAGAAGACTTATCCACATCATATTACATTGAGTACGTCTTCATGAATAGTGCATTTCCTATTTATAGTGCCCCGACCCCATCTCCATACCATTTTGAAATCTTACTCCAATTCTCACCATCTTAACTACTACAATATTGCTAGAACAATGTGTTTTACTGAGTTCTACACAAAGAGAAACTTTGTCATTATGAATATAATTATCAAGGGATCAAATAATATTAAAAAAGCAATTACCTTTTTAACTTCAAGCCAGCCTGAGCCCTGATCATCCCCTTCTCCTTCCATTATTCCACAATCAAAACTAGCATTATCAAAAACACAACAAATATAATAAATTTTATTTCAAAAATTGAACTTGTAGGTATTAATAACATGACAAATTTCAAATAAAATACAAAAAATCAAGAAACTAGGAAATTAAAAAGTCTAGATTGTTTCATACTAGAAATTGAGCTGGATACTTCGCCTAGCTCTCGAATTCCAAACCACATTAAATTGAATCCGGTTTGGGATTTCGCTAAAGAATAATGAGAGTTGAGATTGATTTGGAGACTAATGTTGTCTTTTTTCCATGGCCATAGCTCTTATTACAATTTGGTTGTTGGTCTTTAATTCACAGAAAAAGAAAATAAGAGAATGATCGCAATCACATTAACGAAAACGCCTCTATACTTGAGCTAATGACATATTGGTCCACTTGAGAACTAGATAATTGCACCTAGGTTAGGTTTAACTACTAAAGTGAAACAATGTTTAGATTTTTGTATATTTATTATGTTTTTATTACTACAGGGATTTTAGAGATTTTTTAATATCCTAGTATTTTTTTAAAATTCCATAAGAATTAATGAAATGAAGTTGGATATGGTCCATGAAGGTGTAAGAAAAAAATATTGTCATTATTATTTTTGCATAAGAATATATAAACAAAAGCTTGCTATAAAAACAAGCTAACGTGAAAATTTATTACTGCATTCAACTTGAAGAGTATTCCAACAAGCATTAGAGCTAAGTAATGGTTATAAATGCATATATTGTTCCAACTGTTTCTAATCAAACACATCCTAATAGTGATTGATTGGAATGCTAATGGGAGAAACACTTATTACTGGAAAGAAAAAAACCAAATGTTAACTAATTTACAACCACATGCCTAAAATTCTTTGTGGAATCTGAGGACTTATAACAATGATGTTTTGAGTCAATGAACACATATTGAGTGGATCGGAAAAAATTCATCACTGACATAAAATTGGAGCCACGGGTACCATGCATAACTAATGACATGTTATCACACCGGTAGTATATATATATATATATATATATAATGGCCTATAAATGCATAACAAAGTTGTGAACCAAATTTTTACAATAATTTATCAATTAATATTTATACTAATTTTCTTATTATTGTAATGTTTCAAGGCTAAGTATCAAGTATGTCCTAGATGATCAAATGATCCATGCTTTAATTTATAGTCAATCATTCAAGAGCATCGACCAATTCAAAAAAGTTCAAGTTTGATCTAAGAATCATTCAACTAAGTGCTCATGGCTTTGAAGAGTTCACAGAGCTAAAGCATGATGCATGACAACTATCTCGAGCCTTAGGTGTTTTTAATGTAAGGCTTCTAAACTCCAATAATTAAAAAGTTCTAGCACTGGGAATCTGAATTTTTAAGCTTAGAAGTTCTTTAGTTCTTTTCATAATCTTTCTATTAGTCATTTACTTGGTACTTAACGGTTAGTTCTTCTCTGTCTAAATTGCTTTGCTAAAACATAACAATTTTTTGATAAAATATATTTGAGATTAGTTTTAAACCATAACCTATTACACTAAAGAGCCAAAGTTATAACTCTAGCTTGAAAATTGAAAATTACTCTCTATTCTCTCTTTAGTCTGAAATTCCTGTTAGCTTCTTTGAGAGAAAATTACATCTTGTGAGAGTGTGTGGCTCCCTACTCTAAATGCCTATAGGAAAGATTATTTCATCTTCGTGCTAAAATTTCTTATCACTTATACTAGTATTTTTGTTGTGAAATTTCTGCTTAAATGGTTTCTCATTGTTGTATTGAGAGAATATAAGTCTATCTTTATTGTAATTGCTCTCTAGGATGAGTGTTAAGTATAGCATAGTATTGAAGTCCAACTTACTAGGTTGTGAAGTTGGCAATTGTATAGTGCTTTGAGGAGAACTCTCTAATAGTGGAAGTTGTAAAGTTCTAGATGAGGTGCTAGCGAGGTAGACATCGTTCATTTGAAAAGTGAATCACCTCTAGAATTTGTTTTTATGTTTGATGAATTCAAACTCTTCTCTTGTGCACATCATTATCTCTATAGAACTTCCAATTGTGATATGTGTCTTCCAATTGCCAAGTGGGAGATGTTGTTATTCTTGTTCGAGAATCAACCGCATATAATGAAGGGAGGGGGAGGGAGAGAGAGTTGGTATTAGTAAGGGAAGACTTTCAATTGAAACCATGGCAAATTGTTTGAAGAAAATAAAATTTGTATCAGACTATTAGTGTTCTATATTGTTCATATTCCTTATGTTCTTTATTTAGGTTCTTAATAATTATAAAAGAGCATTATTTATTAATCAATCCTATTCACCACCCCTTCGTTGATATTACAATACCCTTAAGCAAAATGACCAATTACATCATTTCCAGAAGCCTTATCAAATCTTGATGGCTTCACAAAACTCATAATAGCATAGGTGCCCCCGATTAGGACAAGGGGATGTGTCTATTTGTCTTTCTCTTGACTCGAAATAGAGCAGGATTCATCAACCAACATTATATTTTTACACCTACAATAGGGGGCAATACATTGCATTGTAGCCACTGCTCATTAATTCCCTTGGATTTGTATCAGCGTACTGCAGGAAGGCATTTAATCGTCTTGATATTTGTTATCACAACTTCTTTCAATATGACAAATTTCGATCCATGACTTGTTCGGAATCATCGTCATTTGTAGCTTATATAATGATTGAATTTTTAATAGCTCATAACTAATCCTAATTTGGAACTCTTCATTATAGTTTTATTCACTGTCTTAAGAGTCTAACCATTTACACCCAAATTCTAAAGTTGTGGTGAGAATTGTGAAGGTTATAATTTTATATCCTAACATGCCTACATTGGATATATATAACACAAAATAGTATAACTCTTTATTAATAGCTTAATTTTTCTTCTAAATTCCAATGCAATCGAACTTATGTTGAATTAAACTGTTTAGCATATGTCATAGAAAATGTCTCCTAGCTCATTAGGAATATAATAGTGGGTACATTTAGCTTTGCAAACTTTATGTACTTTCATTTCTAGAAAATTTTAGCAGCACCTACAAACTATTCTTCGATCACTCTGCAGATGTTAAGCACATGCCAACAACGGACGAAAACGTAGAATAACATCCGCTTTCTTATGCGAAGAACGAGTTAGTATTGCCGAATTGTCAAAATTTTTAAAACAAAAACACACAAAGTACATAAAGATAAGTGGAGCAATATTACATTCCTAACTCGTTTGAAAGGCTGATTTAATAATTATGTATGTTCATTCTCATTTGAACATAAACTATCACGATCATTGTTAGACACAAAACTTAACTTCATAGCACACAGAGATGTGTATGCTTATGATAAAAATAAAAAAGATTAACATGCACAGTTTTAAACAAGATATACGAAAAATATTAACTATATAGGATTTTTTTATTCGCCCAAACTACATATATGTATGTATATATGTATGTATATATATGTATGTATATATGTATGCATACATATACGTACGTATATAGATATATATATGTATGTATGTGTGTGTGTGTGTATATATACATACATATGTATACATACACATATGTATCTATATATGTATGTATAGATACATCTGTACATACATATATACATACATACATATACATATATATATAAAAATATAAAATAGTATTATGTGTCTTCGCTCAAACGGGATATATATATATAATAAAAAATAGTATTATACGTCAAAATAACATGGATGTACTAAAATAGGAGTTCAAGGATTCTCCATAATCACTTGTTTTGTTAGCACATACATGCCATTCAAAAAAATCAGAGCATAAAGTTAATCAACTTAAATTGATTTATGACATCACTGCAAAAAACTAGTTAAAAAATTGTTGCAAAGAGTAAGGGATATTAGGTTATTAGGATTAGGGACTGGGGATTAGTGTTATTAGGGTTCACTAGGGGTTAGGATTTAGGTTACTAGGATCACGTAATTATGGTTAAAAATAGGGCAATTAAGATTAGGATTACTATTATATTTAAGGATAGTGTTGTTAGGTTTATTAGCATTAGAATAGGCTTATTATGGTTAAAATCCATGGTTGTTAGGGTTAGACTTAGTGTTATTATGATCAGGGTGAGGATATACTTTTTTGGCTATAATAAAAAATCTGTCACCGTGAAAGGAGGAAGACTAGAACAGGGGAGGACATCCAAATAGAAGAGAATCCCTACCTAGAGTGGAAGCTCTCATGAAGTATTATCCATACAATTCTACATTTAGCGTAGTTTCCAATTTACAGTTAAGGTTACAAAAAGCATTGGGCAGTCTAAGCGTTGGATCCAACATCGAACCCGACGTCTAGAGCACAGGCATCTAGGCGGGTGCCTAGGCGCTCGATCTAGGAGGATTTCTTTTCTTTTTAAGTGATGGCAGAGTAGGTTTTGCTCAAGGTTGGAATTGTCATAGTCAATGGAGGCCATATAAGTTCAGAAAATGTTAGAAGATGTAGGGTTAGCAACAGAGGCAATAACAACCAAGACCTAGCGGTGCAGTCCGCGTAAGCTGTCTTGCTCCCCTAGGTGATCAAAAGACCTAGGCGGGCAGAGCCTAGGCATAACAGAGCTAGGTATGAGCTTTTTAAAAACATTGTTCACAGTGTCCCAACTCCCTCCCCTAACCATTTTGAAATCGTAGTCCAGCTATTATCGTCTTAACTACTAGCCTACTATAATGTTGCAGGAACAGTTTGGTTTATCTAGTTCTATGCAAAATAAAAAAACCTCGTCACTATAAAAATAATTATCAATGAATTAAATAATATAAAAAAGATACAATTACCTTTTCCATTTCAAGCCGGCTCAAGCCCTAATCACCACCTTCTCCTTCCATCATTCCACTATCAAAACTAGCATTATTAGAAACACAATAATTGTGAGTAATTTCGGGTCAAAACTTGAACTTGTCGACGTTATTAATAAGACAATTTTCAAGTAAAATACAAAAATTCAAGCA